TATGTAGGGTTGATTATAGGAAAATTAATGGATTTTCTTAATAATAAGGTTGTTATTGAGTTGTTGTTTATCCTTGATTATAAACTCTTGGAAGTTTTAAGTATTTAATTACCCCAAAAGTTTTGCCCAATTTGATGAAAGAATTTGGGGAAACTTCTTAGTATGTATAGGCTGATTCTAAATAGATATGTAGAACTCTTGATAGTATGGTTATTCGTTAGTTGTTGTTGATTCTTGAGTATGAAGTTCAATCGGGTGTTGGTTGTCTAGCTACCTGAGGATTTGACCGATTCAAATATAGGAGTTTTAGAAGTCTATCATGTTCGGGGGCTGGTTTAGTTGAGTTCCTCTTATGCCTAAGTCTTAGGGTTTTTGGTAAAATCATGAAATTGTGGTGATCAAGTGTAAATCATATATATAGCTGCTCATCGAAGAACCGTTTCCCATGGACGCCTTATACACACGATCAAGGGTAAAAACTCCGCGTGAACCAGGTAAGTCACCACCACCTATACATGATAGTTCTAAACAAAGTATGGAAGTCTAGCTAATGATGAATTGATATACTTGCTTGAATACTTGAAATTGTATGGCATGAGATTATGTGAACTCCAAGTTGTATGTATCTATGGACGGATGGTCTTAATTGTGAAGCCATTGATTTATGTGATGTAAAGTATTCAGAATATATGTTTGAGTTGTGTTCATGTGGAATGACAATGAAAAGAAAGTTATGATGATAACGAAAACTATTGAATGATAAGTAATGATCTAAGGTACGTAGTCGTGCCCCCAAGTAACTACCTGAGTTGAGCGTAGTGGGACAGCCTTCCGCGGGGAGTCCCGGGGTTACTTCTGATGGGTTGCGGGCTAGCTACCCGAGGTCATCGGCGAGGGGTCAGGACACGAGCTACGGACCCATAAACTCAAGGAACAAGATGAGATGAAAGAATGATGAGTAAGGAAACCTCTTGAGGTTTGATATGTAAATGCTTATGTGTGTTATGCGCATTTCATGTGCGATTATAATATATGTGTGGTGTATTGAGCATGGATATCTATTTATGATTAGCTGAGATTCCTTAAAGGATTTTGTGGATGAAATGATGACTTACTAAGCATTATTACTTACGAGAATTCCATTCTCTTATGTTCTCATGTATAGGTAATAAACGAAGTATGGAAGCCTGAGAGAATGTACGGAGCCGGTGATAAGGTCTTGTATGAGTTAACGGAGAAGATCTGGTTATTTGTTATGTTTTGCTTTTAGTACTTTGGCGCTCCTACGGATTCTTAAATGATTTTGAAATCCTGATCAGGTGTAACAGTTTTAAAGACGTTTGATTTTGAATACCCTTTGTTATGGTTATAAGGTTGGATTATAAGTATAAGAATTAAAGTGTCATCTCGAGGCTTAGTTTCTTTATTTCCACTTTGTATATTGAGTCTCTTTTATGTTTGAGGATCGTAATGGTTGTTTGGAGACGATCGTTACATTACAACACTTGTTGGATTAAAGTATTTATTAAACTAGTTATTTTGCTTTAATTTTACTAGTCACATTTTAATAAAAAAAAAAGTCACATTTCTATATCATAATCGCATTACTTACATTTTATTATAAAAGTCATATTTTAAGTATTGTTACCAATTACTTACATCTTTTATTACTTGCATTGTTTTTGTACTCACATTAACATATTTGTTAGACTTTAATATTTGTTACATTTTTAGATGGACGTGGTAGACATTCTGTAGATATGGTTAACCTCCAATGCAACCGAAAGAAGGAGATTGGGAACAACCATCCTCATTCGTGAGGCAAAGGTAAAGGACATGTCGGGTCTTCTTCTCAAAGTCGTGATAATTTTGAAACAGATTACCAATGGAGAGATGCGAATGCGATGTCCGACGCGCAACTACAACAATTATTGGTCTAACAAGATGGGCGCTTTTATCAACAACGTGACATCCCCAACATTGAGGAAGAGCTCGAGGATGAGGACGTGGAAGAGGAGGATCTGGCAACGGCCGAGGACGAACAAGGCGGCTCTCAAACCCCGGACAATGACACCCACGACGAGGACGAGGCTGGTTCATCCCAACCCGGTAAGAAAGGTGAATCTCTCCTTATGAAAAATAATTATAAAAAGTAGAATGACCCGGCAACCGGGAAGTGGTACACAACTTGCAAGCATTGTACGAAAGATATGAGCTTGGGGATTTCTGGATGATACGGCAGCCCCGATAGGCATATTAAGGCCCGTCACCCCGCGGAGTATGCGAAATCAAAAGGCAAGAGGAAGCAAACTCAAATATCGAGGTTTGCAACTGGCCAACCATGTGGTAATTTCTCCTATGATGATTCCAAACATTTAACAGCTATGTCTCACTTAATTGTTGAAAAAAATTGCCTGTTATTTTTCTGAAAGTATTGCTTTAAAAGCTTATGTTCAAGGTTCTTTAAATCCTCAATTTAGAAATTATAGTCGCAAAACCATTAAAAAGAAGTTATAAAGGCAATATGGTTTGGAAAAGGAGAAATTACAAATGTTTTTCTCAAACTTTGATGGGCGTGTTTTTATTTTTAGAGATATATGGGAGGATACTCATCATTTGTATTACTTGGGTGTGACTACACATTATATTGATGATGATTGACAAATGCATAAACGTGTTATTGCTTTTCGTGAATTTAATGATCAACACATTGGTGGTAATATTTATATTCTCATTGAGCGTATTTTAATTTAAGTATAATTTGATTGATAAGGTGTTTGCTATGGGTTTTGATAATGCTAGTAATAATATTATTGCTATACCTAGGTTGCGTGATTTGTGTGGTTCTTCTACTTGGGTGTGACTACACATTATATTGATGATGATTGACAAATGCATAAACGTGTTATTGCTTTTCGTGAATTTAATGATCGACACACCGCTGATAATATTTATATTCTCATTGAGCGTATTTTAATTGAGTATAATTTGATTGATAAGGTGTTTGCTATGGGTTTTGATAATGCTAGTAATAATATTATTGCTACACCTAGATTGTGTGATTTGTGTGGTTCTTCTACTTTGATGGGTATGTTTGTTTTCTATCATCGTTGTGCATGTCATATTCTCAATTTATGTGTAAAAGGCGAGCTAGCCGCGTTAGGAGATGCTATGGAGATAGTGAAAGGGGGGATTAGACTTATTTGGGCTAGTAATCCACTAAAAATGCAATGGCGTTAATATTTGAGGGATAGACATGTGAAATATTGTCAATTTTTTAAAGATTTGTCTATTCGATGGGATAGTACTTATAACTTAATTGTTGTACTTGTTATATTTAAAGACTATTTTCCTTTTTTAAAAGAATATACTAACTATATTATAAATCCAGCTGACATCATCACTATGGAAAAAATTGTTAATGTTTTGGTATATTTTAATAATGCAACCCAAACTTTTAGTCATGTTTATAAACCTACCGCAAACCATTTTTTTGTTCAAGCTGTTAATCTCGCCAGTGTTTTTGCTGAATTTTCCGATACCCCTTACGTTCATCATTTTTGTTCTTTCATGAAAGAAATATTTTTAAAATATTATTCACATATTCTGCATATATATGGTATTGCATTTATTCTTGATTCTTCTTTCAAACTTGATGTTTATCAAAATTGTTTAGAGTACTATTATGCTTCTTTTTTTGGTTCATATGTACAAAGATAAGCTCATAAATTCTAAAGAGCAATACAACGAGGTTATTAATTTATTTCATCAATTATATAATGAGTTTCATGCACAATATGGTAACGCACCCCCTCCCCCTGACACGAACATCTTCTTCATCTAAAGAAAAATCATTTTTGAAATCTACATTTGGCAAACTTATGAAGAAAGTAAAAAAACATTTGTTGTTGCACAAATCTCGGTTAACGAGCTTTCTTTATATCTAACGTTTCCTGTTGACTATGAAGACGGGGATGACTTTGCGTTCTGCAATGGTGAAAGGAAAAAGAGAGAATGTTCTCGATTTTATCAAAAATGGCTAACCAAGTGTTAGCAATGTCGATATCAACAATTGCCGTGAAACAAGAATTTAGTGCGTCCGACAACGTACTAACGGATTATACAACGAGATTGAGTGCAAAATCTCTTGAGACGCTTGTTTACTTCCACGATTGGTTGAAGGCCCAATGTAGAACTTAAGAACTTAGCATTGCCCCCACCCGTCACTTCATGGAGGAAACAACAACCGGCCGTGCCGGAGATTCCGACTGCTTATTAGGAAATGTATTTATGTTTTAAATTTTTTTCAATTCTCAATTGTAGTTCATATTTCAAAGGAATTTTATCAATCCGGGACCTGGAAGATAGATGAACTATCAATTCAGGACCTGAAAGATGAAATGTATCAATATAAGACCCGAATGATGGAAAACTATCAATCTAGGATCCAAATGATTGAAAACTATCAATTTAGGACCTAAGTTTTCATAAATTTTATTATTATTATTTTAAAAAAATTAAATAATATTTAGTTTTATTAAACTAATAAACTTTTGTGAAGAAAATTTCATCAAATATTAGCAATGGAATTAATAAAAAATTAAATAAATCAAAACCTATGAAATGTTAGGTCCTAGATTGATAGTTTTTCATCTTTCAAGTCTCATACTGATAAATTTCATCTTTCAGGTCCTGGATTGATAATTTATCTATCTTTCAGGTCCCATATTGATAAAATTCCTTTTTCAAATAAATATACTTTAACTTTTTATTGTCTAGCACTTCTTGAATTAATTTTTAAACACGATTTCAAAAAAAAATTAAATAGCCCAACCCGAGACCAGGGCGGGTAGACCGGCCCAGCCCGGTTCAGGTAGAATCTCGGGCCGGTACCGGGCCTTAAGCCCAAAAATCCAGTACCACCCTGACCCGTCCCAGAGCCCGTCCATCCCTACCTCTATCATAAATGAAAAAGTTGCTGCATGCGATGAGACTCGGAATTCCAGTAGCAAGATGGGCAAAGATTTGTTCCATTTATTCTTTTCTCTTCAGACAATGACTATTATATGAACACAATGGATTGATGAGTATTTGAGCTAAAATTACTCATCCCAGTTTCATAGGCTCTTCAGTTCAGTTAAAGTGAGGAATAATATACACCAACACTTTGTTAAATTAGCTAACCCGATCTACTGTGAAATGGAAAGAGCTACCCTATATACAATGGGGAAAGCATAATATAAAGTCACCATCTCTCATCACCCATCCAATTGTTCTTCTCCTTCGGCCCGCTAGGACCTGCTTCCCCACACAGTTCCCCTGGCAACTTATTGAAAATACTCTGCACAGAAACTCCAAGTGACATAGGCAAAACATTGCTAATTCTATCAACTTCGCCCATCGAATCATACACAATCCTTGGACCCCACTCCCTCATATATTGCAACCAGCACGGCTCGATAACAACCCCGTTCCCAAGATACTCTGCTGAAACAATTTCATAACAAACGCTTGAATCCACATAGTAATTACTACGGGAAGCATCATTCCTGATACCAACCCCGAGCGCAGAGGATCCTTGGATGTATACCCCCGGATGAGGATAGCTGGCATGGCCATGTTTGGATGAGTATATGACGGCTTTATTCCCTTCAATGAATTCTAGATTGTATATGTTTACCCATTCGCCCCCGCTATGTTGTGAGAAGTATATGCTCTGCAGCTCTCCAGTGAAATTGCTCAGTCTAAGCGTGAAATGCTCCCAATCCCCCACATGCCGACCGACTTTTCCCAAAACAAAATTTAGTACCCCGACCTTAAGGGTAGCTGGCCCATTGAAGGGACAAAAGATCCACATTACTATATCAGTAAATGTACCACCCATAGCCGGCTTTACATGAACATAAAGTTTTGCACTCCGTATATTCCCCTGCTTGAGTGTACCTATTGAATATTACGAGAATGATTTATAAATGACTCGACATTACTTGTAGATGGTGCTTTCTATTTTCAGAAGTTAAGTACAAGAGGGAGAACACAAATCCACCTAAAATACATAAGACTTCTAAAATATAAGCAAGAGATGGTCCCTGTGGTAAGGGTTAATTGGATGAAATAGTGGTTGAAATGTTGAATCTGCTTGGATTTTCAAAAGGAAAGGCTTATAAGCAGAATAAGCTGATTTAATGCTTACCAAACAGGATCTAAAAAGTAAATAAATAAGTAAACAAATTATATTAATTACTCTTTCATGTTAGACGACCCAAACTCTTTTGGGACTACAGTTGGGATGTTGTTATACTTTTGACGTCCAAAAGATTCCCAAAATTGATCAGGCACGGAGATTTTGAATATGATAATTGTGTGGTTGAAATTTATTTAAAGGTGAAAATATGAACCACATAGGCACATAACACTTTGCTTAATAGAATGAGATATAAGCCATTTTCCTCAAACTATAATTTTTGACAAACTAAAAAGGAAAGTTTTTGGAATATTAAGGAACAAGAGTAAATAAAATAATGGCTCCATTAGTACCTCTACGACTATCTCTAGGCAAATCAATCCAATATTCCCCGTCATTTGTCCCACCTGCAGGTAAATTGGAACCTTCGGGGTCAATGGTCTCACTTCCATCACCTTTCTTGCAGAGCAATGCTCCGTTTTCAAAGAACCAAGAAACAGAAGAGGGGAGATAGACCTCATCGGGATGGAAAAAGACAGTTGGACCATAATGCCTTATGAGTGCATGTATCTGATCAAGATTTGGCATTGCATGGAGAGCGTCATCAAAGTTCTTCAAACAAACAACACCTAACTCTTCCCTCAAGCTCAAATACTCACTACAAACAAATGTGCCCACCGAAACACCTCTACCCTGCTTTCCTCTATAACAAGGTCTCGTGTTCCAAACTAAAATAGGTGTTTGGGAAAACTTAGAATATGTTTTCAGCATCACGTGGTGGGTTTCACAAGGATCTGTGAGGTCATCTCGGACACATTTGACCTCACATAGTTCAGGCTTGGCGGGTTTGTTGGTCACCACAAAGCCCAAAGATTTATAGCCTTCGGGTGGTTGAGGTAGCCAGAAGTATCCCGACCCATCAAACTCATCATCTGTTCCATCATTTGAACACCAAACTAACGTGTAATCCTCGGGATCTCGTAGAGGGGGGGAATAATCCCCATGATTTGATTTGGAAACTGCACGAGCCCCTAGAACAAAACCTTGCAAAGGGTTGGCATTAGGTTGTGCATAATAACCAAGGTTGAAAAATCCTTGTGGTAATCCAGTTGGTTTATAGAAGCTAACCCCTTGCCTACCACCACTGTATGATGAAAAGTTGCTTCCCCAAACAAACTCAAATTTGATAATCTGACAAACCTCTATCTCACCCAATCTAATTATTCCAGTACCAAACCCTGTCCCTGATCATTCAAATACTTCAATATAACAAGTGTTGAAAAATTTATATTGCATTGCCTAAATATAAAATAACAAACAACCATATAAGAATTAACTTACTTACTGTTATGAGGTTGAGCTTTTAGAATAGAATCCAAGTTTGAGTAACAATAATAATTTCAGGCTCCATTAGCAGAATAAGCAGGCTTTTCACTTACTTATTTGGTAAAAACAAATTTTATCAAACCCTTTTCTTTTCAGTAAATTCAAAATATTCAGAAATTTTATTCAGACCAAATAAGTTGTTAGAGACACAGGGAGTCAGCCCATTACTAATAATAGTGTTGACTATTATAAAAAAGTGTACTCTAGAAGAAGGAAGAGGAACATTAAATAGCTAATATTAATGGTCATGATGCGTATGGATGGACCATTAAGGTAGAACGTTTTTTTTAAAATGAATCGTATAGCTGAAGAGGATAAAGTTGAATTAATCACGCTAGCTATGGAAGGTAAGGCTTTAAACTGGTTCCAATGGTGGGAAGAACACTCGAATGTGAGGAATTGGGAACAGTTTAAGGATGCCTTGATTCAGGGGTTTCAACCTGGACTGGTACAGGATCCATATGGCCCTTTACTGAGTATAACACAGACCGGCAGTGTGATGGAGTATAGGGAGCAATTTGAGTTGATTGTAGCTCCTCTGAAACAGACTGTGAAGATTCTCAAAGGAATATTTCTAAAAGGGTTGAAACCTGAAATACGAGCTGAATTGAAATTGAATCCTGTTAGAACTCTTGTGGAGTTAATGGATAAGGCTTTGATGGTTGAAGAAAGAAATCTGACTCTGAATTTAAGCAGGTACAAAGAGGAAGATAGAAAAGGAATAAAGGATAGAGTGAATGCTGCAACCAACTTGTTCTCATTTAACCGAGTAACCAGACTAATCCTGAGAAATCTGCCATTGAGAAGAACCATGATGTAATTAATAAAGGTGCTGCAGTGAAGGGAACACATAGATTGTCCCAATCTGAATTGCAGGAGTTAAGTAGGAAGGGCCTTTGCTTTAAATATGGGGAGCAATGGGGTAAAGGTCAAATGTGCCAGATGAAACACTTTCAGATCATCATGTTAGATGATTCTGATGAGGAGGAAGAGTCAGAGGAAAATCAACTGGAACCTACTGCAAGGATGGAAGAGAATGATCTTTCCAGTATGCAATTATCACTAATGAGTAAGGAAGGAATGACTACTCCAAGGACTTTCAAGTTGAGAGGAGAAATACAGGGCCATAGAGGAAGCAAGGATGTAATCATATTGATTGATTGTGGGGCTACTCATAACTTCATATCTTCCAGGGTGGTACAAGAAGTGGGCATTCCTATTCTTCACATTCCAGAATTTAAGGTGGAAATAGGGAATGGAGATCAGATTAAGAATGATGGGAGATGTGAGGCCTTATCTGTTAAGGTATAGCAGATTATGATTACTCAAGATTTTTACACCTTGGAGTTAGGGGAACTGAAATAGTGTTGGGGATGGAGTGGTTGTCTGGTTTGGGAAATGTGGAATTTAATTTCCATCAATTATCTATCAAATGGGTGGAAGATGGGCAGTCCAGAAAATTGAAAGGGGACTCTCATCTCAGCAGAACTGAAGCATCTCTTAAAAGTTTGGTGAGAGCTTTACGCAAACAAGGAGAAGGATATTGTTTGTACCCGGCTAAAATGAAAGCAAATGTGGAAGATAATGAAGATAGACAAGTTTGGGTCAAGGAATGCAAGACAGAGTTTCCTGTAATTTTCAAGTCCCCAGATGGATTACCTCCAAAAAGGGACTGTGATCATGCTATTAACATTAAGGAAGGATCAACAATCCCTAACATCAGACCTTATAGATATCCACAGTATCTGAAGAATGAAATGGAGAAGGTAATTCAGGAATTACTCAATGGAGGTATCATACAGCCCAGTACCAGCCCTTACAGCAGTCCAGTGCTTATGGTCAAGAAGAAAGATGGAGGATGGAGGTTTTGTGGAGATTACAGAGCCCTAAGTAGAATTACAATACCTGATAAATTTCCAATCCCAGTCATAGAATTGTTGTTGGATGAACTAAGCAGTGCACAGATTTTTTCCAAGCTTGACCTGAAATCAGGCTATCATCAAATCAGAATGAGAGAAGAGGATGTTCATAAAACAGCTATCAGAACTCACGAGGGTCATTATGAGTATCTTGTCATGCCATTTGGACTCACTAATGCACCCTCCACTTTCCAAGCTTAAATGAACAGAGTCCTAAAATCCTACCTCAGAAAGTTTGTATTGGTTTTCTTTGATGATATTTTGATATATAGCAGGAATGAAGAAGAGCATTGGGAGCATGTAAAGAAGGTGTTACAGTTGTTGCAAGAAAATTAGTTAGTGGTGAATGAGAAGAAGTGCTCCTTTGGGCAGAAGCAGTTAGCCTATTTAGGACACATCATATCTAAAGAAGGAGTGACAGCTGACCCTAGTAAGATAGCAGACATGCTGGATTGGAAGTACCCCACTGATGCTAAGGGCTAAGAGGCTTCTTGGGCCTTAAAGGCTACTATAGAAAATTTGTCAAAAACTATAGTAGAATAGCATCTCCTTTAACTGATCTTCTCAAGAAGGATGGATTCAAGTGGAATTCTGAAGCAAGGGAGGCTTTTGATGAACTGAAACAGAAAATGACTCAGTTACCTGTGTTGAAGGTGTCAGATTTCAACCAAACCTTTGTAATTGAGTCAGATGCATCTGGAAATGGCTTGGGGGCTGTACTTATGCAGGAGGGAAGACCCATAGCTTATATGAGCAAAGCTTTGTCCAAAAGAAACCAAAATAAATCTGTGTATGAAAGGGAACTCATGGCTATTGTATTAGCCATACAAAAATGGAGGCCCTATCTGTTAGGGAGAAGATTTGAAGTTCATACTGATCAGAAGAGTCTGAGATTTTTGACGGAGCAGAGAATTTTGGGGGAAGATCAACAGAAATGGATAGCCAAGTTGTTGGGGTTCAATTTTGTCATCAAGTACAAATCTGGAGTAGAAAACAAAGTTGCAGATGCATTATCTAGAAAGGGTCAATTTTATTCCTTATTTGTGGTCACTTGTCAAGAGTGGGAAGGACTCGAAAGTGAACTGATGGATGAGAAGTACAAAAATATGTTGCAGAAACTGTGGACAGAACCAGATTCTATTCCTCATTTCAGAATCAAACAAGGACTTCTTTATTTCAAGGAGAGACTGGTGATTCCTAGGAATTCTGTGAGAATTAATGTTATTCTCAAAGAATTCCATGAGTCGGCTATTGGGGGACATGTCAGGAACTTTAAAACTATGAAGAGGATATCTACTCTTTTCTATTGGGAGGGAATGAGGACAAATATAAAGAATTATGTACAACAATGTGAGGTGTGCCAAAGAAATAAGTATCAGACTTTAAGTCCAGCAAGATTATTGCAACCTTTACCCATTCCTAATCAGATTTGGACCGATCTGAGCATGGATTTCATTGGAGGGTTGGCAAAAGCTCAAGGGAAAGACACTATTTGCACACTTTATAGCATTATCTCATCCTTACAATGCTAAAAGTGTGGCAGAGGTATTCATCAAGGAGGTTGTGAAAATACATGGCTTTCCTAAGACTATAGTTTCAGACAGAGACAGTATTTAGAGAGCGGGGAGAGCATGGGGCAGGACCGGGCTTGGGCCCACTTCCGTGGGCCGGGATAGGGCTGTCTTTATAGTTAATTATTACTTCGTATTATTAAGTTAATGTTATGTTTTAGTTTGGGCCTATTATTAGTAGAGTAGTTAGTTGAGTTAAATTGGGCTTAATTAAGGTTTAATTAATTTGGGCTTGATTACGGTTTCTTGTAGAAGGCTATTTATACCCCTCGCCAGGGTTCATTCTGACTATCTTGGAATAAAATTGGTTTTAGCCTTTTGGCTCTGGGCAACGGTATTTTTATCTTTGATTAAGGCAACGGTTTACCCCGTTGATTTTTATTTTTCTGCTACACAACAATTGGTGCGACCTGCCGGATCTCATCCCGCCAGGATGACAAGATCTCAAAACGATCGATTGACCGAGTAAGAGACCGAGCAACACCGACTGGGAGAGGAGCAAGCCCGATTAGGGGTTGAGCAGGCACGGATGAATAGCACCCTGGAAGAGCATGGCATGCGGCTGGCTGAAATCATCGCATCACTGGCGACGCTCATGCAGGCCTTGGTGCCGCCGATATCGCAGGCAGCTTCCTCGGCTGCGGTCGGGAGTGCGACCGTAACAGCTGCCAGTGACGGCGGACTGCCAGCGCAGCCACCACTCTCCTTCCCTCGTTCGACGGTGAAGACCCAATTGGGTGGTTGGCGAGAGTGGAGCAGCAGTTTGAGCTCAACAGGACCCCACCGGATAGACAAGTTGCAGCGGCTAGGGTTTCTATGGAAGGGGCTGCCCTCTATTGGGTAACATGGCTGAGAGCGCGCAAACCAGACATGACCTGGGAAGAATTCAAGCAAGACCTGGTGGCTAGATTCGATTTCTGATTCCAAAGGAACAGATTTGAAAGGCTTTCCGGCGTCAAACAGATTGGATCAGTAGAGGAATACAATACCTTGTTTGTTCAACTGGCTAGCCAAGTTCCTGGATTGACCGATTATCATTATTTGGGCTACTACAAGAGTGGACTTGAGGAAGCAATTTGAAGCTCGTTACGCTTATTTCGATCGAATCATTTGGAAGAGGCCATGGAATTAGCTCGCGATGTGGAGTACAATCTGTCCGTCCAGAGTGGAGGAAGTGGCAGCCCGAATTATAAGCCTTCAGGGGTACATTCCAGCAGCTTTTCAATGCCAAACACGAGTCCTCCGTTGACTGCCGGTGGTGGCAGCCTACAGGGATTAAGTGGCAGCTTCCCGAAGGATAGTGGACAGCCTCCAGGGACGAAGTCAGGGCTGTCCGGGCAGCCTACGACACGCTCTCAGTTCACTCGTCTTCCGCCAAAGGAGTTCGCAGAATTGAGGGCGAAAGGATTCTGCTTTGGATGTAAGAAACCATTTACACCGGGGCATGATTGTCCCTTTAAGCAGCTGCGGGTAATGATAGCCGAGGAGGATGAAGAGTTGGACCTCCGACAGCATGAGTACTGTAAAATAACCGGCCAGGAAAGAGTTCATGAAAGAGAGGAAGGATATTTTCCAGTCTATTCTATGTCTGGGAATTTCAGCACACCGTCTGTGAGATTTCAACCTTGAGGACAAGGTTATTTTGAAGGAGGATGGATTGATAGAGAGCGGGGAGAGCATGGGGCGAGACCGGACTTGGGTCCACTTCCGTGGGCCGGGATAGGGCTGTCTTTATAGTTAATTATTATTATTAAGTTAATGTTATGTTTTAGTTTGAGCCTATTATTAGTAGAGTAGTTAGTCGAGTTAAATTGGGCTTAATTAAGGTTTAATTAATTTGGGCTTGATTAGGGTTTCTTGTAGAAGGCTATTTATACCCCTCGCCAGGGTTCATTCTGACTATCTTGGAATAAAATTGATTTTAGCCTTTTGGCTCTGGGCAACGGTATGTTTATCGTTAATTAAGACAACGATTTACCCCATTGATTTTTATTTTTCTGCTATACAACAATTTTCCTCAGTGCTTTCTGGACTGAACTGTTTAAATTAGCTGGAACCAAGTTGAAATACAGTACGGCCTATCATCCTCAGACAGATGGGCAGACTGAGGTAGTGAATAGGTGTATAGAGACCTATCTAAGATGCATGACTGGAAAGAAACCAAAGCAATGGCCTCAGTAGTGGTGGGTTACCTTGTGCTGAGTTTTGGTACAATACAAATTATCATGTATCTACTAAGAATACCCCTTATAAAATTTTGTATGGGCAGGATCCACCTGTATTGATTAGAGGGGATGTTATTCTTACAGCAGTGGAAGAGGTGAATAGGCTGACAGCTGAGAGAAATTTCTTGATAGAGGGATTGAAGAGTAATTTGGTCATTGCACAGAATCAGATGAAACAACAAGCGGATAAGAAAAGAAGGGAGGTTCAGTTGGTGGTAAGAGATTGGGTGTACTTGAAGATTCAACCCTACAAACTCAAAACCCTAGCCAAAAGGATGAATCAAAAGTTGAGCCCTAGATTCTATGGACCTTTTGAGGTGGTTGAGCAGATAAATCCCGTAGCTTACAGATTGAAATTGCCTGAACAATGTAAGGTGCATCCTGTGTTTCATGTGTCCCTACGGAAGAAAGCAGTACCTACTTCTACTCAGGTGAAGCCTTTACCTAAATGCCTAACTGAAGAATGGGAGTTACAAGTAGAACCAGAAATTGTGAGGGATAGCAGGATCAACCCAACAGGAAGAACTGAAGTCTTGGTGCACTGGAAGAATATGCCAGAGTTTGAAGATTCTTGGGAGGACTGGCAGTCACTTCAGAGGCAATTTCCTGATACCCACCTTGAGGGCAAGGTGGAAGTTCCGGGGGGAGTGATGATAGAGACACAGGGAGTCAGCCCATTACTAATAATAAACAAGTGTATTCTAGAAGAAGGAAGAGGAATATTAAATAGCTATGTACGATATAGAAGGATGGGGAAAATACTATAAATAGATAGCTATTGTAATAAAGAGGTAGGCTAGTATTATTTTGGTTGGGCTGGGACTTGGAGAGTGGCTCTCTTTAAACTGTCGTATACTTTCTCTTTCATTTCTGTTAATAACAACCTGGCTAAGACTGTTCATACATTCTGTTCAAATCTATTGCTTGAATTACCTTGTTTCTAGTTGAATTACCTATCATAAGTCTTACCAAACGGGCCCTAAATTTCAAGGTATTCAAAGTGTAAGCTTTTGAATGCTACCCAAAAAGCATGATTTTATTAATATTTTAGCTGATAAAAACCAAACTTACAACATTTGTCCAAGACATTAAAACTCTTGCATGAATTGAAGTTAACATTAGACAGAGAATAGTAATAAATACATGAAGTGCATACCTTGGGGCCATTCAGGAATTGGCGCCGGTAAAGAGAAAGTTTGTTGTTCCTGCTTAGAGAAACAGGCAACTTGGGTCCAGGATAAACATTTGCACCCCAACATCTTTGCACCTCCTAGGGTTACTAGACGAAGAATTCTTGAGCAAACATTTGAGAATTGGAAACGGATTATCAATAGGCGTTGATGAAGCCCAACAGGGCTTCTACACATTTTTTTGTATGATAAATGATTTTAATTGTTTTGTACACCTTTATACTTCAGATTTGGATTACAGAACCGATCTTTCTAGAAAAATATCCGGAGCAAGCAAGAGAAGAACAACCTGGGAGCATAAGATTGTACCTAACTCATCCCAAAATGATCTTCAAAAGGCGGGGTATTCCTCGCACATGTATTTGTGAAAACTGCAACCTGTTCAAATATACTTAAATAAGGGTTAACTATCTGCATATTGAGAAATTACAAAATTTTAATGCACAAAGATATTTGAAACAATTTGAAACATTATACATCAGATATTACAGCTATGTTATCATGTTCAGTCTAAAATCCCTAAATAGGACTATAACATACCACTTTTCCGAAAAATAAGACACATTTGCACCTAAAAGAAATTATAGCTACTTTGATTCTTTTATTGGGATTGAATGAGTCCTATTTTAAGGATAAAATAATGACACTCCTATTATATTATCGACAGAGCTTAATGCTATACACCTGATTGTGGGAACTTCTTAATCTGTAATATATAAATTTCACTCCTCGCATATATATATATATATATATATATATATATATATATATATATATATATGTATACATATATATATATATATGTATACATATATATATATATATATGTATACATATATATATATATATATATGTATACATATATATATAAATATATATATGTATACATATATATATAAATATATATATGTATACATATATATATAAATATATATATGTATACATATATATATAAATATATATATGTATACATATATATATAAATATATATATGTATACATATATATATAAATATATATATGTATACATATATATATAAATATATATATGTATACATATATATATAAATATATATATGTATACATATATATATAAATATATATATGTATACATATATATATAAATATATATATGTATATATATATATATATAAATATATATATATATAAATATATATAAATATATATATAAATATATATATATATATATAAATATATATATATATAGTGATGATCTGGTGAGTCTGGCCGCACGAGAAGGGCCGTCCGGCCGACGGCTTTTGGCCGCCTTCCCGGTAGAATCTTTTGATGAAATTTTTATGGCATTTTCTACCGCAAGTCTTGTTTATCCACAAAAAAATTCAGCTCAAAATTCGATCTGGAAGGCCTTCAGATGATTTTTTGAAGTTGACTGTGCCAAATTATACATAGAAAAACACAGTCAACTTCAAAAAAACATTTGAAGGCCTTCCAGATCAAATTTTGAGCTGAATTGTTTTGTGGATAAACTAGACTTGATGTAGAACATGTCATAACAATTTCATCAAAAAATTCCACCGGGAAGGCGGCCAAACGCTGTCGGCCGCAAGGCGGTTCTGGTCCGTCCGTCTGCACATGAATATCCCTATATAGGGAGTGGATCAGGTGAGAAGTGCTATTAGGCTGAGAACTGCGAAGTTTAACTAATAAACTAAAAACACAAACTTTTAACCAATAAATTATAACTTATAAACTCCGTCGAAAATAATTACGAAAATGCCACCGCAAAAAAATAAGCCTGGAAACCTTGAAAATTTTTGGAGGCGGTGGCATTTTCGTAATTATGATGGGGAGCTTTATAAGTTATGATTTATTGCTTACAAGTTCCTATATTCAGGGGGTGTTTGGATCTGATTTTTAAAACTGCTTCTGCTCCTCCAGGGAGCAGAAGCAGAAGCTGAAGTGTTTGGGAGAAAGTGCAGAAGTGATTCTGGTGATCTAATTTACTCATAGAATCAGTTTTTTTAGAAGCTGGGGGGACCAGCTTCTGAAAACTGATTCTGATTCTGCTTCTACTTTAAAAAAGAAGCAGAATCAGAATTGGTTCCAAACACCCCCTCAGTCTATAAGTTTACTGCGTTGTAAGATTAGATGCAAATACAAGGGTTGAGATTGCTTCTTCTCATTTTAAGAGGGACTTCTCATCTGATCTTTTCTATCCCTGTATATATATATATATATATATATATACACACACTACACACAGGAGTGAGATCACATACAAACCATGCTTAACTTACTAACCTACAAACTCAATAATATGCAACACTTTGAACTTCAATATGCAGTACAAATAATGTAAAAATGACCTCTTTGAATTTCAATATGCAATACAAATAATGTAAATATGAAACTGCTATTTTATGGCTTGAAAAATATGAAACACTTTGAACTTCAATGTGCAATACAAATAATGTAAAGATGATTTGAATGGGAGTACTAGTTTGTATGTGATCCCACCACTGCATCTTTTTATGGTATGTTCTTAATCAAGTCTAGTTTATCCACACAAAAATTCAGCTAAAAACTCAATATGGAAGGTCGTCAAATAATTTTTGGAAGTTAACTGCGTTTTATATGTATTTTCCGGCGCAGTTAACTTCCAAAAATTATTTAACGGCTTTCCCGATTGAATTTTTAGCTGAATTTTAGGTGAAATTATAATGTGTTGCACAAATGGTACAATGTAGTGACATTATGTGAAGCTAAATTGTGCATTAGGTGAATTTGAAATGTGCACTAGATGAAACTAAAATGTGCAGAATAAAAGGTACGATGTGATGTTATTTTTGTACCTTTTATTCTGTACATTTCAGTTTCACCTAATGCACATGTGAGTTTAAATTTTAATTATGCACATTTCAATATAATCTAATGCACATTTCGGTTTCACCAAATGCACAATTCAATTCCACATAATTCAATCCAACGGCCCAGATTCGTTCTCATTTCTCTCCTAAGATCCGTTCTTACCGAAAACGACTATGCAATGTGGCCACTTGAAATTAAAGTTTATTTAGATGGAGTAATAGACCATAGAAAGATTAAAAGTGTTAAAATATTTCCTGGTAATATTAGACATCAAAGTGAGATATTTCAAAGACAAATTAGACCAGAATGCCAACAACTTAAAAGATTAATTCTCAATAATTGGAAGGAGGCAAAGAATAGGGCTATTAAGTGCGAAATAAACCTATCAAGGAATGGGGAAAAAACACCATGGAATTTGAAATGCTGATGAATTGTGTCTTTATTTATAAGAAGATTCGCCGACTTATTATATAAGAGAAGACGATTCACCGACAGATGAAAACAATTCGCCGACCGGCGAACCGTCTGCTGGTCATGAAGGGACAGGAAGAAAGCCTACGAAGGAGAAGATGATTCATACAAAGTATGCTTCCGGTACAAAATGCAAATACATCTCATCCGTCCAACATTATAAAATCAAGGGGTAAGATTTGTTTGGGCTACTAAACCCAGCCGTTAGTGGGTATTTAATGGGGAGTTTTCCCATATTATATTAAATGCTCCATAAGTTATGCGTTTAGTGGAATTTTTTCCATCATACTATTCAATCCATCGTAACTTTATTCATATGGATGGTCATGATTAATTTGCACTTTGTAAATTAAAATGAGTTTGTATATGATCCCAATTTATATATATATATATATATATATATATATATATATATATATATATATATATATATATATATATATATATATTGCACTCTTAAATTACTCCTGGGAGAACGTAAGATGTACTCTAGAATTTCTGCAGTTCCCTGTGGTGATCAAGATGTGATCTTGTTGTGTAATTCGATTCTAGGTTACAGGTTCAATTAGGATATACAAATTCGAATTTTTAAACACATAATACACGTAACAAAAGTTATGATTTCAAAATTTGTTTATGCAATATTGCAAATGCATTTAAATAAAAATACATTCTAACAAAGTCATTGCACGATCTAAGTAAAACACATTTATAAATTAAACCCTAAAACTTTAAAGAAACTTGAAACAAAAAAAGAATTTTTTATAACCTGAATCGCGTGGTTCGGGTGGAGCCATAGAAATGATAAGGGGTGAGGGTGGGGAAGGAGCATCTGGGGGCAGACGATTGGCAGTGAGCGGTGAGGGGGCGAAAGCTGGCGAAGCAATGAGCGGCGGCGGCGATCAGCGAACTTCCGTCGATGTTTTGTTCTTTTATTCTTTCTGTTCAGTCTAAATTATCTTAAAACATACCATAGTTTTTGCTCCAGGCATGAATTTAACCTTTTTCCCCTTTATGAAAAAGAAGAAAGCTGGTGCCGTGGTGCGACAACAAAGACCACTCGATTCGCTTAATTTGGTAAACAAGAACCGAAATTGATGACTTTAGTGACTACATGAAGTATGGAATGATCCGATTCATCCGACCTTTTTGAATTTTAGTTTCGTTTCCTTTTTTCCATTTTAAATCAATTACTTTTGAATAGTTGAGTTTGTTCCGGAAATCATTTGGAAGATGAAAGAAATCCACGACTCGGACCGACGCCAAGTATTTTATTTAAATAAGGGAAAAGTTGCAAATAAGTCCCAAAATTAATCGAAAAAGTTTAAATACTTTTATATGAGGCTCTGTTTGGCTGTTTCTATTTGGTATGGTTATCGGTTGAATTTTTTTATGAATTTTTTTCAGCATCTTCATCGTTAAATCTATTTTATTCATACCAAATTTTAGGTAAAAATTCAACCGGGAAGGCAGTCAAACGATTTTCTGAAATATACTATGTTGTTTAACTGCACAGTTATCTTCAAATATTTATTTGACTCCCTTCACGATTGAATTTTTATCTGAAATTTGGTATGGGTAAATTAGACTTAATAAAGAAGATGCTCAAAAAATTTCATCAAAAAATTCCACCGAGAACTGCCTCAAATGGCGATGGTCGGACAGAGCCTCCTATAAAAGAGGTGATTTGCACTTTTTCGGTTAGTTCGAGAGCTTATTTGCCCCTTTTCCCTTTAAATAATGAAAAAGTTAGATTAAATAAAAATTCTTTACAAAATTGTGACTAGTGATTAAAATAATAATGAAATCATAGTAACTTATTTTTAATTTTTAAATTTAAAATTGCATGACACTACATTATAATAAATATTAGTTGTATTTGTGTAAATAAATTTAATTTTAATTAGTAGGTTGGATATTTGTCTTTATGTGCCTCATTGTGCTATAAATCTTGTTTCAATTAGTAGGTTAGATGTTTTAGGATTTCATATCAAGTTTGGGAACAATACCTATTCATTATTTAAGTATAATTTTATTTATGGATCTAGTGTGTTGGTTGATTTCCTATATCTTTTGATCTTGATTTGAAATTTATTGAATCTTTATCTAATGTTGAAAATAATGTGGGAGATAAGCGTAATGCACTAGATGAGGACTCAACTTTCTTGTGGCACCAACGTCTCGGTCATATTTCCAAAGATAGGCTAATGAGGTTAGTTAATAATGAAATTTTACCTCAATTGGATTTTAGTGACTTGGATGTGTGTGTTGATTGCATTAAAGGAAAGCAAACCAAACACACAGTAAAGAAGGCGTCCACAAGAAGCACTCAATTGTTAGAGCTTTTACACACTGATATTTGTGGTCCTTTTGATGTCCCTTCTTGGTGTGGAGAAAAGTACTTTATCACCTTTATAGATGACTACTCACATTATGGATACATCTATCTGCTGCATGATAAGGCCCAGTCGACAGACATCCTATTGGTGTTTTGTCAACGAGGCGGAAAGGCAGCTAGAGAAGAAAGTTAAGGTTGTGAGGTCTGATAGAGGTAGTAGGTATTATGGGAAATCCAATGAATATGGACGATGTCCAGGTCCATTCGTTGAATTCCTTGAAAATCGAGGCATTTGTGCTCAATACGCAATGTCGGGTACACCACAAAAAAATGGTGTAGCTGAGAGGCGGAATCGTATGTTAATTGAAATGGTTAGGAGTATGTTAAGTTATTCTACCTTACCCCCTTCTAGGACTGCTGCATATCTATTAAACCGGGTTCCTATTAAGGCAGTTCCTAAGACCCCTTATGAAACATGGACAGGTAGGAAACCTAGCTTGACACATCTCCAGATGACTATTTACTATATTATGTTGAGCATGAGCGTGACTTGAGCATTGGTGTTGGTCTTATGGGGGATCAGCATGCACCACCCTTTGATTTGGGGCGTGCTTATACGCCCAACCTGTTGGCACCACGATGTGGAGCAACCCCTCATGTCCATCCACCGCACAGTAGTGGGGCTCTGCACTGCCGTAGTGAATTGTGGGGGTGCCCACAGGAATCTACCTTGACTTGGGGACTACAGAGTAATGGGTTAAATAGAGGGTGTGCACTTCCTTATCACCAATTGGTTTTAAGAAAGATATGGCTGCTATTTAACCACAGAATTCTGCAGTTAAGCGAGTCCGGGGTAAGAAAGCCCAAGGATGGGTGACCCGCTGGGAAATTTGTCGAATCCGAAAAGGGGTGTATCGCTCAAACAAGCTTGTCGAATCCGAAGAGGGGTGTATCGATCCAACAAGTGGTATCAGAGAGAGGTCACAGGTGAATCTCCCAGCTGATGCTGGGGGTGATTGTTGGTCTTATGGGGGATCAGCACCACCCTTTGATTTGGGGCGCATTTATACGACCAACCTGTTGGCACCACGATGTGGTGCAGCCCCTCATGTCCATCCACCGCTCAGTAGTGGGGCTTTACACTACCGTAGTGAACTGTGTGGGGTGCCCCATAGGAATCTATCTTCATTTGGGGACTACAGAGTAATGGGTTAAATAGAGGGTGTGCACTTCCTTATCACCAATTGATTTTAAGAAATATATGTCTGCTATTTAACCACAGAACTCTGTAGTTAAGCGAGCTCGGGGTAAGAAAACCCAAGGATGGGTGACCCACTGGGAAGTTTGTCGAATCCGAAAAGGGGTGTATCGATCAAACAAGCTTGTTGAATCCGAAGAGGGGTGTATCGACCCAACAATTGGTGAGGATCCAGTCTCATTCGAGGAAGTCAAGGATAGTAAAAACTCAGATAAGTGGATTGATGCCATGAATGAAGAGCTTAAATCCATGTATGACAATAAAGTTTGAGATTTAGTTATGTTGCCTGATGAATCCAAAAGAGTTGGATGTAAGTGGGTCTTTAAGACCAAGTGTGACTCTAACGGAAACATCGAAAGGTATAAGGCCAGACTCGTTGCTAAAGGATTTACTCAAAAACGTGGCATTGATGACAAGGAGACCTTCTCTCCAGTTTCAAAGAAGGATTCCTTGAAACAAGAATTTTAAAAAGAATCGGAATGTGGATGGTGAAGACCTAACCTTTGCAATCAAAGGCTTCTTTAGCTCTGGTAGGATTTTAAAACAACTTAACCACACGATGATTGCCTTGATTCCTAAGACCAGTCACTCACCCACACCGGCTGATTTTAGACTTATTGCATGTACTAATGTTGTTTACAAGGTCATCACTAAGATCATAACTAAGAGATTCATCCCTTGCTTACCTGACCTTATTGGTCTGGCCCAGAGAGCTTTTGTAGATGGTAGGCTCATGATTGATAATGTCTTTGTTGCACAAGAATTGGTAAAAGCATATGCTACGAAACATATCTCTCCAACATGTATGATCAATGTGGATCTTCGAAAGCCTATGATACAGTAACGATCGTCCCCAAAATGGTCATTAAGATACTCAAACATAAAAGAGACCCGATAAATCAAGCGGAAATAAAGATAGAAAGCCTCGATATGAGACTTTATTTCTTTTAGAACAAAATCAAACCTTACAATCACAACGAAATGCATCCAAAATAAAACATTTGTAAAACCATTACACCTGATCAGGATTTTAAAAACGTTTAACAACCCTTTGAAGTACCAACGTACTAAAACCACAACATAACTCATAGCCCGACCTTCTCCGTTAACACATCCAAAACCTTGTCACCGGCTCCATACATTCTCTCAGGCTTTCGTACCTCGTTCATTACCTATAGATGAGAATACGAGAAAATAGAAGTCTCGTAAGCAATAATGCGTATTATTTCACCATTTCATCCACTAAAAATGTTTAGGGAATCCTAGCTAGCCATAATTAGATACATAAGCTAGAATACTTCATACACCTAGCATATTCACACACATATTCATATCATGTAAAACACAACATCATGTAACGAAATCTAAAAGATTTCCTCATTCATCATTCTTTCTTCTTATCTTATTACTTGACTTGATGGGCCCGTAGCTCGTGTTCTGGCCCCTCGCTAATGACCTTGGATAGCTAGCCCGCAGCCATCAGAAGTAATCCCGGGACTCCCCACGGAAGGAGATCCCGCTCCGTTCAGCTCAGATGATTACTTGGGGGAACGACTACCTTAGAACATTTATTATCATTCATTAGATATCATTACCATCACAACTTTCATCCATTGTTGGAGTCCATATAAATCCAACCTAACATTAACCATGGAACTTGGATACCTTTCATTGATAACTCAACAAGTTCTCAATCCACATCACCTATAAATATATACACATAACAGGGCATTCACATAATCTCATACAATACAAATTCAAGCATTCAAGCAAACCTATCCAATTCATAGGTAGCTAGACTTCCATATTTCATTTCAAACTATCATGTATAGGTGGTGATGAATTACCTAGTTCACGCGGAGTATTTGCCCTTGTGTGTGCATGTACGATGTCCACGAGCAACGGTTCTTCGATGAGAAACTATAGTTATAAATACACAAGCTTATTCTTGATCAAACTTAAATTCATGTCTTTAGAAAATCCTTAGACTTAAGGTGAGGGAAAGTTCACAAATCAACCCCTACAAGTTAGAAAACTCCCCCTTTTCCTGCAACAAATCGGGCATAGATTCGGGTGGCTAAATAACTAAGAATCTGGTTGAATTTCATGAATCAAGACTCATCATCTATTAACTCCTTCTCATAATATCAAGGACTCCATGTATCTATTTAGAATCAGCCACTAATCATTCAAATACTTCCCAAATTCTTTCATTAAATTGGGTATAATTTTGGGGAAGCTAAATACTTAAAACTTCACAAGGGTTTTCAATCAAGGATGAACAACAACTCCATAACAACCTTATTATCAAGAAAAACCATTAATTTTCCTAGAATCAACCCTAAATCAATCAACCCTAGAAAAATCTTCAACCAAGAACTATAGATACAAATATAGTGGAAATACTTCATGTTAAGTGTAAAACCTTACCAAGTGATGATCCTTGATGAAGAATAGGTTTAATTTGAGCTTGAAATAGCCTAGGAAGGGTTTGGGATCACTTCAGAGAGTTGGAGTCGAACAGGGGTTCGTTTTGGGGGAAAAGGAGTTTTCCCCGTTTAAATACAACCTGCACCGACCTGGGCAAAAATCGCCCGA